AAATGTGATAACTTCTTATGTGTGATGTTCCAGGGATCCAAAATGGTATTTTTGGATCAAGGACGTCAAGAAGTATAAGTGTATAAAATTTCACGTTAATCAGACTTCGTTTGGGCGGTCAAACGAGCGTTGACCGCCAGGTCAAAGGTGATACCCGACCGGGTATGGGTGAATACCCGACCGGCTTTTGTTTAAAAATGGCTGTAGAAGCCACTGCCACACTAGACCCGACCGGGTATGGGTGTAGACCCGACCGGGTCTCAAGTAAAGTTGGCTCCAGGGGCTACTGCCTCACCCCACCCGACCGGGTAAGGTAGGATACCCGACCGGGTATTGGGTTAAGCTCAGAATGGGCAGTTTTGAGTAGGTTAACGTGGGTCGTTCGGGTGGGACCCGCCCACGTTGGATCCTAAGGATTGTTATATGACTATAGGGCTAGGCATTGTCCATAGTTAAAGGAATGAAAGGTTAGCCATATCTAGGTTAGGATTTGGTAGAGAATAGACTGGGGATTGAGTGCCCTTGGACGGTAAATGATCCAGAATACTCCAGGTGGGGTCGAGTACCCTTGGACGGTAAATGATCCAGAATACTCCAGGTGGGGTCGAGTACCCTTGGACGGTAAATGATCCAGAATACTCCAGGTGGGGCCGAGTACCCTTGGACGGTAAATGATCTTAAATACTCCAGGATGGGTTGAGTGCCTTGGACGGTAAATGATCCTAAAACACTCGGTAGTATGAATCGAAGGTAGACTATAGCTTGTGAGCTAGGTAACCGGGAAAGGAGTGAGAAAAGTCAGGTAAGAACTTTATCTCTAAAAGACTCTTTAAGGTAAATGACCTACAGGTTGAGTATTTTACGAGTATATATACAGTATGTATCATCGGGTGGATGAGGGACATCTATATGTATATATCACCCTATTTTTGGGTCTCGTGTCTGAAACATTAGTTATTCTTCATATAGCCTGCTTGTCACTAGTACTTCTATGGAGTACTGACCCCTCCGGGGGCCCTCACATTTTTCAGGTTGAGGCTAGAGTCCTACTACCTGCACCTTTGCCTAGGGTGATCATTCGAGGAGGAAGACGTGGTTCGTGCTTCCATTCGTATTTTTGAAATTTATAAACTGCTCATGGATTTTTGAACAATGTTTTCATTAAAACAGTTGGGGGCCTGTGTGCCCGTGTTTGCCACGTGTGGCTAAGTATCAAACATATTATTATTTCCGCATTTGCTTGATTATGATATTGATGTTGATTGTATGTGTTTACTAATCGGTTTGGCAATAGAATCAATCAGACGCCTTGTACAATTCAATAGGGATGAACTGTTGTTGTTCTTATCGGGTTGTACGGCGGTTGTCTACGTGGCTCGGATGCGGTCCGGGGCGTGACAAAATAATAATGTGAAAATTTTGAACAGTAGAAGAATAATTTATCAACATTCAATACTGTATATTCATAAAGATGTAGCAATAATGCATATTACACGGATGAACTGTTGAGAGAGAATTATCTAGGTGCTATACGAGAATAATAGGTGCGGAAATAAATTGTGTAGAGACTTAGGCTGTTCGAACCATCTATGTCTGTATTTATAGGAGAGAGGTTGAGCATCCTATTACAATAAGGAAACAGAGTTAGACGTGCGTGCGTGTGGGCTTAGCTGCCTAAAAAGCTTGTTTCTCTCTCTTAACAATTAAAATCCTGCTAATACTATGACTAATTAAACAAAGATAATTACAATTAATTTGAACACAATAAATAATGTTCTAACAATCTCCCCCATTGTGTTCAATTCGCGATGAAGAGCAGATTATCTTTGTGTCTTGTATAGTGATTTTCTGTAGCCAGGTGTGACTTCATAATGTCTGAGAGTTCTTCTGAAATCAAATGGAATACTCATGGCTTCTGCAATTCACGGAACCACATTGATGGATTTCAACTGAGGTGATCCCAATGATCAATGAATCAGACTGTTTCTTCAGAATGTCCATAAGGGTCATTCTGATCAGCAGACATATTTCTAAGCATCCATATGTGTTCTGAAGCAGCAGTGCCTTCCAGATGTTCTAATCCATGGAGTTCTAATTCATCTATCTTCTTGATGTTCTTCTGACTTCTCCATATCCTTGGTCTTAGATCTTCTTGAAAAGGAACAACAATCGTGACGTTTACCCATGGTATCTCAAATTTGTCTTCTATCTTGGATTCCTTGGGACATCTTCGGATCAGATTTTTCAATTAATGTAGATCACGAAGTAGATCGTCATAGAATTCTCCTTGGATTATTTCTTTTGGTTCAAGTTCCATGAGCTCTTCAGTAACTTTCTTCTTTAATTCTCTGATGCAGTCCAGCTTTGTGAGTGCTTCTTCATTGCCTATTCCTTGCGGACTGTCTTTTTCTTCTCGTTCAGCCCAATGAACTAACAATCGATCTGCTTGTGATGGCGCTTTGTATTTCTGAGATGAAGCTTGTGGCGCTTTTTCTTTCCTTTTTAATGATTGTTTTGATGATGATGGCTTTGAGAATGTTGAAACTAAAGCAGATGAAGTGGTTTGTGGAATTGTAGGAACCTGTGGAACTGTAGAAATGGGTAAAGTAACACCGGGGTCACAAAGACTCACTGTTGTCATCATACTAGAGACTAGCTCATTCTGATGCAAATGATTAAAATCCATATCTAAACATAGAATCTGTTTTCACAACATCTGTAAAAATAGTTGTGTCGTGACATGTTGGGGAGTTAAGTGTGGCAAGACTTCCAACCATCATTGACGTACCTCTGGTTTTTGTGATTGGTGGTAATGTTACAGTATCAGTGTGTGAAGTAGGTTATGCCCTAGAAAATGATAAAACATATGGGATTGTGGACACATGACCTAACGTGCATGGGCTTTCAGTGCGGGGCGGTTCACTAACAATTAAGGGTTCCCCTTGTATGATTGAAACAACTATCTGTTGGGAGACAGTTGAGTGGTCTTGGCTTGGCTGAATTTGCGCTATTGAACTCGATGTAGTGACTTCTACTCGGGAACTGGCAAGGTCAGAACCTGTACCTATGGTTTGAGTTCGAGATATGGTAGTGACTGGGATTGATGAAACATTAATATCACTGGAGGAGGAGACATCAGATCTCTTGGACTGAGTCTCACATGCCCTCTTCTTGGGTTTTGTCGCTCTCAGGCCCTTACTTGCACTCGGTTTAGAAGTTCACTGGGCAGACAAAGTGGAGTTTGACTGTGTCGTAGGAACAAAAGAGATGTGTACCTTATAATCAGTGACAAGAGGATCACTTTGATTTGCCAAGTTGAGAAGGTTGTTAGGAATAGGCATCGGTTGCATTTCTGCATCATTTTCTTACTTTTTCAAGGACAACAACTTGGGTATCTCGTGCAGTTCAGTAGATTATCTCGTTGGAATGTTGACGTCTTCTTTCATGAAATGATCTATCAGAATTGAGAACCACCTCACATATGGAATGTACTTAGTCTTCTTATCAGATTCTCTGTTGTTTATTTGCTCTAGAATCTCATACCAAATCAGTTGCGCCCAGTCACAATTCTTGGCAAAAATAACATCATGGACCAGCTTCAGAATGTGAACGTTGCATCGATCATGGCCAGATTGCTTAGGCGAACTTGTTCAGTATAGCAAATAGTGATCTCCAGGGTCGGGGTCAGCGGTTGGCTACAAAGTGTGAGAAAAGGGTGAGTGGCGGTAGATGACCAACTTTGAGCATATCAGATAGGAGATCTTGGTCAGAGGGAAAAGGGTCATATTGGGTAGATTTGGGTAACTAGAGTAGGGTTCTGAAGGTATCGTGGCCTCGTGGGTGATTTGGATGGTGGAGTTGGCTAGGGTGCATGGCTTCAAGTGTAGGAATGAGATCGGTTGTGGTGTGTAAAGTTCCCCAGAATTGTCTCAAATAGATTTTTGGAACTTTTGTAGACAGGTTGAGAGCCGGGCAGAACGAGTGTCCTTTCAAGTATAAATAGATATTAGATTAAAAAGGGTTTTGGTCTAAAGGTTAATTGGGCTTGAGTATCAATCGACTTGAGATCCGAAAAAAAAGGACAAAGTATCTCGAGTGGTAGAGATCTCGGTAGAGCTTAGTAACTCGGGTGACTTCTTTAGTGAGGAATTCGGGTAGGCTAAACTCGTGTGAGGTTTTCGGGTAGATGCTAGGATGTCGGGTGATAGACTTCGGGTAGCCAAGTTTTGGAGTGTAGAAGAATTTGGGTAGGAGACTTCGGGTAGGTGAATGTCGCTTTAAAATTTCGGGTATCCGTATGTTGGAGTAAGATTTCGAGTGATGTCTTGGGAAAGATGATTTCAGCTATGGAAATTTCGGCGGTTCTAATCTCGAGACCAGATAAAGATTTCGGTTCTTAGAATTTTGAGGGTTAGCTCAAAATCTTAGAATTCAAAAGGAAGTTCGGGTATGGATTTCGAATCCCTCCATTTTGAAACTTAAGAACGGGCTATGTAAAGAGGGTGGCTAGATTTCGAAGGTTGTCGGAGTAACTGGGGTAGACGACGACGATGAGGAGGTTGCCGAAGGTTATAGCCGGTACTCTCATCATCGTTTAGGAGGTTGAAACCTGCAAAAATAAATTTCACAAACATGCAAAAGAGAATAAGAAAAAAATAAAAAATTTGAAGGAGAATTAGAGACGTGATGCGAGGAGGAAGATGAGAAAACCTTTGAGTGCTTTGAGAGAAAGTTTGTGAGTAGAGAGAGGAAGAAGATGAAGTAGTAGTGCGAAAAAGATATCAATCGTTATTGAACTTAAGTACCCGCGAAAGAGAAGAGGAAAAAACTTTTTATTTCTTTTTTTTTAATTTAGGAAATTGACAAAAAATAAAAAGACCAAAAAAATGTAAAATATATTTGTGATTTTCTGACTAAAAAAATGCGGATACTAAAAGAAATAAAATACCCCCCTCAAATGTAGCACTCAGACCAGACTAATTTGGCTCCTCTAAATGTATGCACACCTTAGGGAAACAAAATAAACGACCAAGAAACTGACTCAATAAAATTTAAAAAAAAACTGACACGACAGACAAAATAAAAAAAATGCCCCTGATGGATAGTCTACCCGGGGGTATATATCCGGAGGGTTATTACGGGGAATAACCTAGAGAGAAGCCAGAGTAAACAAGTAAGTGTAGAGAGAGAGAGTGTATTTAGTATGAATGCCGTTTTCAGCGTGGTTACAAATGAGGAAATGGGGTGCTATTTATAGTAGCAATAAATGCCGGATAGGGACACGTGTCAAGCGCTCATTGGCTGAGGGGTCACCTCAACTGGTTGGCGCTGGCAGCCGCATGTGGCCGCATTTAATGCGGCTGTTGGATGGGACGTCTGTGCAGGGTACGGTGATCTGCACGCATGTGGGGCGGATATCTTGTCGGGTGAGATGCCTTCGGCTATAGAGCAATGGCCGAGGGCTCCTCCAACCGATGGCACTCTGGTGCCGAGGGCTCACAGTGCCGAGGGCTACTGTTTTCGCCGTTTTCTCCCAGTTTCTTAATTTGCTTGCGAAACCCGTCCTGTGAGAGTTTAGAGCCTTCGGCCAGGGGGCCGAAGGCACCCCTGGCGCGTAGTGCGGGCTGCTTGGTACTCTGGGCGCTGTGATCTGGGCCTGTTGAGCCTTCTGGGCCTGTTGGGCCTTCGCTGGAGTAGTAGGAGTCTGTGGGCCGGGGGTTCCCGGGCCATATACTCCATCAGGAGTCCCTCACTCCTTTTGCCGAAAGGTACTTGAGGGAAAAGGAGTAACTTGTGCTTGCCCTTTGATGTTGTCCCATCGTGATCTCTGAAGTTGGTGAGGAGTTGTTGCTCTTATGTCCCTGCCGAAGGCAATCCCTCAGTTACCCACATGTCGGGACTTGAGGGCTTGCCTTGTCGTTTGTTGGAATTTCACTAATTTTGTAATTTAATGATTTTCCCGAGGGGGTCCTCCAGTCCCCCACTCCTTGAGGCACTTGTAAAGTGGTGAAAAGGAGTAGAGTAGTTGTGTTGCTGTTGTGGGCCGAAGGCTGACGTTTTTCGTTTCATTTTGGGGGGATGCCTCGTTAAAAACCTCATTAGGAAAAACCCTGGGGGAAAAAATCCTAATGAGGGAAAAAGAGTGCACCGAGTTCCCCCAATGATGAATCGAAAATGTCAAACCTTGGTCAAAAATGGAGAATAACGGTAATGCCGAAGGCTCTTCTTTTTCTGAGGGCTCATGTATTGATCAGCCGAAGGCTTGCCGTTGATATCCTGGGGATGCCGAAGGGGAGCCCCTCAATCCGGGGATCGAGGGCCTTCTGGATGAGGGCGGCAGCGGAGTTGTTACCGGGGGGTCCACTGTGTGTTGATTAGTTGGTGATGAAGATACCCGAGGGCTCCCATTACCTGTGTGCGACGGGTTATCCGTCAATGAAGGCAACTCCCCGGGGGCTACCCGGTTTGCAGTGCTGAGGGGGAATTCCCGAGGGGTGCCCTGATATGAAGCCTTGGGTTCCTCAAGGAGTGATCCCGAAGGCGTCCTGTTATGTGCTGTGTGGGGCACACCCCGGGGACACTTCTGAGTGAGTGCACCCGGAGGCTATCCTTGATGAAGTGGAGTGAGGTAGAAAACCCGGGGCTTCCAGAATATAGCCGTTGGAAATATAGCCGTTGGAATACTTAACGTCAGGATATAGCCGTTGGGGGGAACACGTGGCGCGTGACGGCTGGCTGTCCGTGGGCGGCATCACTGGTTGGGTGAGGACGCGGTGTGTAATGATGGTGTTCCATCCGGAGGCCCAGAATCCAGGCCCAAGCCCGGATTCCATCGCCTATAAATACCCCAAGGCCAGGGCCATTCCCCGCTGTGCGAACTCAGTTGTCTTAGCGAAGCTCCGCCAAAAAATCTAGTGAGAGAAACTCAAGCCTTCGGTCCTAACTCAGCTTTCGAGGTCAGTGCTCCCTGCCTTTCTCCTTCTAGTATAGCTGTACATTGTGCCCTCGGGTTAGGAGATAGAATTCACTAGAAACCTTAGTTCCCCCGAACCCTCGAGCTAGAGTTAGAATGTCGTCCCAGAGTGACTCTCAGGACATCTCGAGGACGCCCTCGATGGAGAACGAAGGCATCTCCGACATGGAGTCTAGTAGCAGCAAGCCCTCGGGTGGTGGTGATGCAGCTCTCGCCACCGAGGTGCAGAAGGATCTGATGGCCGAGGTCGAGGCGGAGGAGTTCGAGCGAACCGCCGAGGATGAAGAGTTGGCCCTCGTCGTCCAAGTCACTGAAGAGGAGGAGGAAAAGGAGAGGGCAAAGGTCACTGTCGTTGTTCTTCCCCCCGGGGTTCAGGGGAAGCAAGTAGCTCGAGGCCACTGGACCCGACGCCTCTAAGTGTAGCCCCCGGGAAGAAGAGGAGGAAGACGAAGGCTGGCCCCCAGAAGAAAGTAAAGGCCGTCGATCAAGGGGGCCAGTATATCTGCCGGAGGGTTACTCCTTCCTGGACACCGCCGCTCTGGAGATTAAGTCCAAAGCTGACAGGGCGGACATCTACATCACCCAGTTGCACGTAGGGCCCTCGGCCGTAGTAGTCGAGCCAGGTCCTGATGACGTGCTGTCCCGGCCTCCCGAGGGATGTATAGCCGTGCATGTGATCTCGGTTTCAATGGGCCTCCGGTTCCCTCTCCATCCTTTCCTCCGGGAGTATTTGAGGTACACTGGCCTGGTCCCCTGCCAACTGACCCCCAACAGCCACTCGTACATAACGGGGTTCGTGAACCTGTGCAAACTCCGGAAGGTTACACCGAGCCTGGAGTTATTCTTCCAAAGCTTCAACCTATGCCGGGGGGGCATACAAATGCCGAGGGCTATGCAAACTTACAGCAGATAGCCCAGTTCAAACTGTTCACCGAGGCCCCTTCTTCTAATAAGGGGTGGAGAGAGCGATGGTGCTATGTCAGACTGGCTGACAGCCCTTTCCCGAGGGAGTTGCGGAATCGCTTTCGGCGCCATGTGAAGGTCAAGAGTGCCGCCCTCGAGAAGGATGGCCTGAAGATCGCCAAGATTCCGGAGGGTCGGGATAATAACATAACAATCAAGGAGTGCGTCCTCGAGGAAGACCTACATGCCCTCGGATTCCTGAGGTATCGGTTCATTGGGGAGACTGATGAGAAGTATCCCCTCTATGATAAAGCCTTCGTGGGAGCAGGAGGTAGTGGCCAGGGGCTTTACATTTTTGTACTTAGAGATTTTCTGTCATGTTTGTTGTCGCGTCTCTGACCCCTCGGTTCTAACCTTTCAACTTGTTGTTGTCGTTCTTTGCAGGTAGCAGGATGAATGCCAACGCCTTGTTCGCGAAGAGGAAGGGCAAGACCCAGCCAAAGGAGAAGGGGCCCTCGGGCCAGAAGCCAGTTGACGCGCTTTTTCCGAAGGCAATAGAGCCTTCCGCCGGGGACGCCCATGCTGCTGTGGGGACCGGGGGGTCGAAGGCCGAGGCGGCCGTTAAGAAAAAGAGGAGCGATAAGGGGGTGGAGCCCCCTACCAAGAAGCAGAAAGCCGCCGTGGGCGCCGTCGAGGGGGCGGCCCCCCTCATAGTTATTGATGACACGCCCGCCGCTGATGGGCCCCTAGCCTCGGTCACCCCGAAGGCTCTGGTGAATCCACTCCCGGAGGAAGTACCCCGGGAGATCCGTCAGCTCTCTTTTGCCCCCAGCGCTTCATTAATGCATGGCACTGCCGAGCCGAGGGCCTTCCTGCGGGGCATCACCTCGAAGATGGACAGGGAAGTCTTCGAGATCTATGATGATGATGCCCTCGAGAACAGGATCCTCCGGTCCTCGCTCACTGTAAGTTACCGCTTCCTTTTTCCTTATCTTATCAGTTTAGTATTATTTTTTCCTGAGGAACAATCTAACTCCTTTGATCATTGTTTGCAGGCCTGCATAGCCCTTGGGGAACAGGCCCGGAGGCGCGAGGAAAGGCGTCTTCACGAGGCTGCCCAGGATAAGAAGGTGGAGGGGCTGATCCGCAAGAACTCCGAGGCGGTGAAGCATGCTGCCCAGCTGGAGGAGGCCCTTCGGGAGGCGAAGGCGGCGGCGGAGAAGGCCAAAGCTGACGGCATAGCCGAGGGCAAGGCGGAGGCCGAGAGGGCTGCTGCCGAGGCGGCGAAAAAAGCTGCCGAAGAAGCCCAAACTGCCAAGGAGAGAGCTGCGGCCGAGTCCCGAGGGGAGGCAGTTGCGGAGTTCCTCGCTGAGGGCTGGAGGGCCGAGGGCCACAAGGAGTGGGTTGCCTCCGTGGTGGCAGCCTCGGTGGACGCTTGGGTAGAAGGCCCCGGGGTTGACTGGCTGACTGACAGGGGGGACGCCTACTACCAGGGCGTGAGTTCTTTACCCAGCACCTGATCTACCGGAGGCTTGCCAGGCACTTTGGCGTGTCCCTCGAACAATTCGACCCCTCGGCATATGGCCTCCCTCCGTTGCAACCAGATGTCAGAGTTCCCCTCCCCCCGGGTGAAGAGCGGCCGACAATCTATGATTCTGTAATGATGGGGGGTGATGGGGGTGGAGCCGTCGGGGGTGATGCTGCCGGAGAAGAAGTCTCCTCCAAGGTTGTCGTGGAAGATGCCCCCGGAGACAACGAGGCTGAAGCCGCCGAGAAGATTAGTACTTAGTCAATTTTTGAAAAAGCTTTGTAATGAACATTTGTCACCCCTCGGCTTTGGCCATACTCTGTAACAAACACACTTGAATCCCTTCCTTTTGTTGAATGAATGATTGCCTTTGGGCCTTGTACATGTGGCTTGTTTTTTCTAATTCCTTTCTCCTTGAATGCATGCCTTCGTTTTTGTTTTGGATGTATGTCTTTGCTCCTTTGAATGTATGTTTTAGGACTTAGAATATTATCTGATTGTAGCTAGCCCTTGGGAGCCTTCGGTAGTTGGGCATCCTCTGCTGGACATACAACCGAGGGTTTAGCAGGAATTGGGACTTAGAAATTTTTTCTAAGTGTAGCACAGCATGAGGCCTTCGGGCGTTTGTAGTAACCCAAATCCTAGGACTTAGAAAAATTTCTAAGTGTAGATTTCCCCTTGAGAGCCTTCGGGATATGGCATCCCTTCCTGATGTGTGAATGTTGGACCGAGGGCCCAATGTACAGGACTTAGAATTTTCTTGCAAGTGTAGTATGTCACGTAGCCTTCGGCTACTGGGGAGCCCCAACTGAAATATTGAATAGGCCGGGGGCCAATTCTTTAGGACTTAGAAAATTTTCTTGAGTGTCGATTCCTTGTGCACTGTAGCCCTCGATTGATAGGTAGCCTTCGGCTATTAGGTCCCTTTATAAGATGAGGGTGAAATATGTAGGACTTAGGAAGATTTCTAAGTGTAGATTTTCCCTTGGGAGCCTTCGGGAGATGGCATCCCTTCTTGATGTAAGAGTAGTTGACCGGGGGGAAGATATGTAGGACTTAGAAAATATTCTAAGTGTAGATTTCCCCTTGGGAGCCTTCGGGAGATGGCATCCCTTCTGATTCCACATCACTTTGCGAGATGCCCGGGGGCTGCTCATTTAGGACAGAATATTTTTTAAGCGTTGTTGTATTGCCTGGCCTTCGGCTACCATATTCCCTTGGCTGTAATATTGATTGGGCCGGGGGCCCAATCTTTAGGACTTAGAATTTTTTCGAGTGCTGCTTCCTTGTGTAGCCATCGGGTGATAGGTGCCCCCTGACTCTACATTACTTTGCGTAAATTGATGTTGAATCCTGTTGTTGTGAAGAAGGCCAATCAGGAGTGTGTGCCCTCGGCATACACTCTGAAGAGTTGTAGAGTTTGACTCAGCCGGTTGTGTCCCTTGTAATGGGGTAGGGGCCCTCGGTATTAATGTATAACAGCTGCCTTCGGTACATATTTGAAGGTACTTTGCTGCTATTTGTTCGAGTAGTATCCTTCGGGAAATAGGAGCCTTCAGTTACCGGAGGTACTCTTTGATTGTAGGGAGCCCTTGGCTTGTTGTGATCTGTTGGAGTGTACTCTTTGATTTCTCGCTGAGTCTACTCCCCTTCACCCCCTCTTTTTTTTTCTTTTTTTTTTTTTTTTTGGTTGGTGGTGAAGGGAAGGCATCAAGAAACTTGGTTTCTTGGTAAGGCTGGGCCTATTAGGAGACCATCAGAATACACCAATGGCTCTCCTCCCTCGGGTTAACCTTCCGAGTTCCGAGGGGATCGAGGGACGTTTCCTGGGCACAAGATATGGTGGTCCGTAACCTGCCTCCCCTTGGGGGATGGCGCGGAAAGCGCCTCATTTTTGAAAGTCGTCCCCTCGGCGCTAGACATAGTCCGTGGCCTGCCACACCCTTGGGGTGGTGGCGCGGGGAGCGTTTCGGTTTGGAAGTCGAATCCTGGGCATTTCTCATGCCTGTCATACCCTGGGGGTAGTGACGCGGATAGCGTTCCGTTTTTGAAAGTCGAATCCTGGGCATTTCTCATGCCTGTCATACCCTGGGGGTAGTGACGCGGAAAGCGTTTCAAGGAAGGGTTTTCATTTGCACACTAGTTGCAAATGGCTGGGGGCACTACGTGCCGCCGGCACCGATGGTGGCGCCTTCGGTATATGCGTCCTCGTGGGGTACGACTTTTAGAAACAACACTTGGTGTTAGTTTCGATGTGTAGCCCCCGGTACTTGGTACCGAGGGGTCTTCTGTAGGAACACTAGGTGTTCTCTTTTGTTGTAGTTGATGTAGGCGTGTACCCTCGGTACTTGGTACCGAAGGGTCTCCAAATGAAACACTTGGTGTTTCCCAACAGATGTTTGGAAGTTGATAGGAGAGCATATCCCTGGCACTGGGTGCCGAGGGGTCTTCTTTGAAACATTTGGTGTTTTTTCTTCGTTTCGATGTTTGATGATGGAGGTGTACCCTCGGCACTGGGTGCCGAAGGGTCTTCTATAGGAACACTTGGTGTTCTCTTCTTTTTCTTTTTTAATGTTGAAGGTGGGAATGTACCCTCGGCACTGGGTGCCGAAGGGAAATGAAACACATGGTGTTCCTTGTTGTTGGTGATAGGAGTTCCCTCCCTCGGTACTTGGTACCGAGGGATCTTGACTGAAAACACGTGGGGTTTTCACCGTTGTTGTAGGTGTTGATGGTGTCCGCCCTCGGCACTTGGTGCCGGAGGGGGTTCTTCTCGTGGTGAGGCCAGGGGCCTGTAGTCAGTATGAGGGCTTGATGTCTTGAATGTATCTTCATTCTTCGAAATTGAAGGCCTTGGGCCATAGGATAGTACATTCACTATTTATGAGGGCTTGGCCGCTCTTACATTATTGATAAAATTTAACTAAGTGGTGTACATTCCAGTGCCTAGGGACTTCTTTCCCGTTGGGGCGTTTGAGCTTGTAGGTCCCAGGTTTGATGATGGCTGCTATGATGTAGGGGCCTTCGAATTTTGGTGCCATTTTTCCTCCCTCGGTTGGTTGGCTGGCTTCCCTCCTCCGGAGGACATAGTCCCCCACTTGAAATTCTCGGGTGCGAACTTTGGCGTCGATGTAGCTTTTAACTTGCCTTCGATAGTTTTCCGCCCGGATGAAGGCCTGCTCCCGGCGTTCTGAAATGAGGTGGAGGTCGAGGGTCATGTTGCTGTCGTTGACCTCGGGGTCATATTGGATCACCCTTCGGGTGGGAAGGGTGACTTCCGTAGGAGCTTTGGCCTCAAAACCGTAGCAGAGGGAGAAGGGTGTTTCACCTGTTGCTCGCCGAGGGGTGGTGCGGTAGGCCCAAAGGATGTTGTGGAGTTCTTCCACCCAGCCACCGCCCTCGGCCTCCAGCTTCTTTTTGAGGCCCTCGAGCAAGGTCCGGTTGGCGTTCTCTACTTGCCCGTTGCCTTGAGGGTAGGCAACGGAGGAGAAGGTGTGTTTGATGCCCCATGCCTCGAGAAGGGCACAGAAGGGGGCTGCCTCAAATTGTGTCCCATTGTCGGAGATGGTCTGCTGGGGGACGTCAAACCTTGTGAGGATGTTCTTGAGGACGAAGTGACGGCACTTCGCCTCTGTGATGCTGGCGAGGGGTTCAGCCTCCACCCACTTGGTAAAATAGTCGACGGCCACAATGATGTATCTGTTGTTGGAGGTACCCCTCGGCAGAGGGCCCACAAGGTTTATCCCCCATCGAGAAAATGGGACAGAGGTGCTGATGGGGGCATAGTTGACCGCTGGCCTGCCGGGAGCTTTCTGGAAATGTTGACATGCGGTGCACCTTCGGGCAAGGTCAGCACAATCCCTGGCCATGTTTGGCCAGAAGTAGCCCTGGAGAATGAGCCTTCGGGACATGGAGAAGGGTCACTGGTGAGCTGAGCAAGTGCCACTGTGCACTTCCTCCATTGCGACCTCGGCTTCATCTGGATGAAGGCACCGAAGTAGCGTGCCATTGTAAGATCGTTTGTAGAGCCTTCCATCTTCGATGGTGTAGCTGGGAGCCCTCAGTTTTGCCAGTTTAGCGCGGGCCTCATTCTCGGGTAGCTGCCCTGTGGAGATGAAGGCGGTGATATCTGAGATCCAATCCTCCTGACGTTGTTGTATGTTCATAACGGGGCTTGCATGGATGCTTGAGAGGCTGAGTTCCTCGATTTTGGCAATTTTGGAGATGTGCTCGGGGGAGTCGGCCGAGAGCTTAAATAATATGTCGGCCTCGGAGTTCTGAGCCCTCGGTATTTGAGTGAGAGAGTGTGCCTCAAATACCTTAAGCAACTCCTTGGCCGTTTCCTTGTACTGCTTCATTCTCCCCTCCTTGGCCTCATATTCTTCGGAGATTTGGCCAACGACCAACTTGGAGTCGCATTTGATGTGGATCTGCCGAGCCCTCATGTTGGCAGCCAGCCGAAGGCCACATAGGAGGGCTTCATATTCGGCCTCATTGTTGGAGACCTTGAAGGAGAAGCGGACTGCATAGTAGGCCCTGAAGCCCTCGGGAGTAATGAGGACTACCCCTCCTCCGCATGCTTTGGTCGCGGAGGAGCCGTCAGTGTAGAGGGTCCACCAGTCGTCCGAGGTAGTCGAGGGCTCCCCGTCTGTGACTGCCCTTGCGGTACATTCCGTCACAAAGTCCGCCAGGGCTTGGCCCTTGATGGCAGGCCTTGGGCGGATGTCAATGTTGTACTGGCTCAAGAAGATAGCCCATTTCACCATGCGGGAGGAGCTGGTGGGGCTCCTCATGAGGGCGCCGAGGGGTTGATGGGTGAGGACCTGAACCGGGTGAGCCTGAAAAGAGTGGCCCAACTTCTTGACAGTCCAAACGATGGCCAACACCGTTTTTTTCACAGGGGAGTACCTGAGCTCGGCCTCCCTTAGGGTCTTGCTAACGTAGAAGATGGCATGTTGGATGCCGTCTTCCTCCCGGATGAGCACAGAGCTGATGGCTGCCGGGCTAACCCCGAGGTAGAGGTAGAGGGTCTCCCCTACCTTGGGTTTGGAGAGCACAGGAGGTGAAGATAGATATCGTTTGAGCTCGTCGAAAGCCCCCTGGCATTCTGGAGTCCATAGAAAGCCAGCCGTCTTCCTCATGATCTGGAAGAAGGGTAGAGACTTCTCCGCCGATTTAGATAGAAAGCGGTTGAGGGCTGACAGGCGGCCCGTCAACCGTTGAACTTCCTTCACGTTGCGTGGGGGCTCCATGTTGATGATGGCCTGGATCTTCTCGGGATTGGCCTCAATACCCCTTCGGCTTACCATGTAGCCCAAGAATTTGCCTCCTTGGACGCCAAAGGTGCACTTCTTCGGGTTTAGCCGAAGGTTGAATTTTTGCATGATGGCGAAGATTTCCCGGAGGTCGTCAGCATGGCTGGAAGATTGTTTGCTTTTGACGATCATGTCGTCAACATAGGCCTCCATGGTGCGCCCTAGGACGGCTTGAAAGACCCGGGCCACCATCCGGGTGTAGGTGGCCCCTGAGTTCTTTAGGCCGAAGGCCATGACTAGGTAGCAGAAGATGCCCTCGGGAGTCATGAAGGCAGTTTTTTCGGCGTCTTCCTCGTGCATAAAAATTTGGTGATACCCTCGGAAGGCATCGAGGAAGGACATGATCTCACACCCTGCGGTCTCATCCACTAGTTGATCAATATTTGGTAGAGGGAACGGGTCCATAGGGCACGCCTTGTTGAGATCGGTGTAGTCCACGCACATGCGGAAGGTAGGGGGCTTCTGTGCGAGGACTACATTCGCCAGCCATGAGGGATATTTCACCTCCTTGATGTGCTTAATGGAGAGGAGCATGGCGACCTCCTTCTTCACAAATTCCCTCCTCTCGGCGGAGAGGGGTCTTCTTCGTTGTTGTACTGCCTTTGCCGAAGGGTCCACCGAGAGGCGGTGGGTGATGACCCTTCGGCTGATTCCCGGCATGTCCTCCGCCCCCCATGCAAAGACGGTGGAGTAGGCGCGGAGGGCGTCGGTGATACCGGTCTTCAAATCTTCAGGGAGCTGGGCTCCAATCTTCACGACTCTCTCCGGCTGGGCCGGATCGAGTGCGAAGTCTTCTACGTCCTCGGCTGGTTCAGCCCTCGGCCTTTGCTCTTCTTGGTCGATGGTTCCGGTGATGGTGTCAACACGGAATTCCGTCTTGCTTACCTTCTTAGTGACCTGAAGATAGCAGGCGCGGGCAATTTTCTGGTTCCCCCGGGAGTAGCCAATGCCCCCCTCGGCGGGAAACTTGAGGCAGAGGTGCCTCATGGAGATGATGGCTTCGAGGTCCTCGAGGGCTGGCCGGCCGAGGATGATGTTGTGGGCGCAGTCAATGTTGACGACAACGAACTCCACCTCGAGCTGGGCTCTATGGAGCCCGTCGCCGAAGATCATCGGGAGGGTTATTACCCCCTCGGAATCAATAGTGTCGCCGGTGAAGCCGGCAAGAGGGGTCTTAATGGGCCGAAGGGACCCCCTCTCCAGATGCAGCTCTCTGAAGGTGCTGAGGTACATTACATTGACGGAGCTGCCCGTGTCAATGTAAGTTCGGTGAATGATGGTGTCGCTTATCTCCGTCCGAATTACCAAGGCATCCCTGTGAGGAGAAGAAGTAGGGGGGAGATCTGCGTTGGTAAAGGTGATGGGTTCCTCCCTCAGTCGCTTCACCGGGGGCATATGAGTGACTTCCCCCACGTAAAGCGATTGAGCCCACTTCTTTCGTTGGCTGGTGGAATCGCCCACTGTATTGCCACCGGTGATCATGAGGATGTGGCGTTTTTTCTCCTGGTAGTGGGGGTATTCCTCCTCCTCTTCTTCCAAGTTCCCAATCTCCCTTTTCTTGCCGAGGGGGATGGTATTCGGGTTTACCCAAGCGTTCACCTTCGTGTGATGCCCTCGGGGAGGCCCCTGATGAGAAGGTCCCTCCTGCCGAGGGCTCTGAACAAATTGGGACAGGTGCCCTGCTTGTATTAACCTCTCGATGGCCGTCTTTAGCTGATGGCAGTCATCAGTCCTGTGCCCCTGGTGCCGATGGAAGCGACAGTAGGGGAACTGAGGGTTGATAGCGTGTACCTCCGGGGGTGCGCGAGAGTCGCGCTCAACGAGGCCCCTCTCCTCGGCAAAATCGAGGATGATGCTGACGGGGTGCGTCAATGGCGTCCGAGGGCGGTCCAGGAGAATGGGCTGGGCCCAAGTCTTAGGGTTGCTCTTATAACCTCCCCCGGGCTTGGCTTGGCCTTGCCGAGGGCGGTCATCAGAGGGTCCCGAAGCCTTGGGGTGATTTGGAGGAGCCCCCGGCCCTCGGTTATGCTTGTTGTCAGCCCTCGGGGGCTGCTGGTCCGGATGCTGGTGATACTTCTCCACCTCCTCGGCCTCAGCATATCGGTCCCCCCGCTGCAAAGCCCTTATGTAGTCGCGGGGGGGTTCAATGATGAGGCTCCTTGAAAAGTTACCGGTGCGGAGGACGGTTTGTAGGAGGGCCAGGAGGGTCCCGTCATCAGCACCGTCGACCTTGTCGGCCTCCGTCCTCCAGCGCTCTAGGAAGTCCCGAAGGGTCTCATCCCTCTTCTGGCGTATTGTTAGGAGGTGGGAGAAGTGCTTCCTTGTGCGGCGCCTCCCGGCAAATTGCGTCAAGAACCGCTGGGCGAGTTCTTGCCATGAATCAATACAGCCCTCGGGCAGCCTGTTGAACCATTCGTATGCCGGCCCCTCTAAGGTGGAGAGGAACCAACGACACAAATATTCGTCCGACGCCCCCACCATCATCATGCTGTTCTGGTACTTGCTGTAATGTTCCTGGGGGTCCGTTTTTCCGTTGTAGGGCTGTATGTGTTGCCCTCGGTACTTTTCCGGGATCCGGGCCGCCAATACCCTTGGAGTAAATGGCGTCCGAGTCCGGAGCTGGATGACGGGTTCCCCGGAGCCCTCGGCCACCTTCTTCTGTAACTCCTCCATTTTGGCCATCATGGCCTCGTATTTGAGATCTGAATGAGGGGCGGAGGTGGTGGCGTGAGCTTTGTTGGACTCCATCTCGTCAAGCCGGCGTTGGAGGGCCGCAATAATCTTGTCCCGGGGGTCCTTCGGGAGGGTCTCCGCCCCCTGCGAACGAACCCGGGCCGAGTGGGCCTGGTTGATTTGGTGCCGAGCATCATCGGCATGAAGGGGTGCCTTGCCTTTGACCCGAGGGGGACGCTCCTCGTCTGCCCTCGAAACGGATCCCCCGCTTTCCTGGGGCCTTTGGAGTGCTTTCCCCCCGAGGCGGTCTTGGACCCCTCGGCGGTCTGGCCCTCCTCCGAGTCGGTTGAGGGCGGAAGTACGGGGCCTTTCCCTGTTGTCATTATGGCGGTCCCGGGACTGAACTTCCTGGGAGGACGTATCTTGGGCCACCACCCCTTCGTCGTTTCTCACCCGAGGGGTGGGATTTCCGAAGGGGTGTGGCAGAGGGGGAAGTATGATATTTTCCCCGATCTGAGAGTGAGCTGGAGCCAGGGTGCCGAAGGCACCCGGGTTCTGGGTGAGCGTCTGGATGAAGGCGGAGAGCGCCGATTGCACGTCGATGGTGAGAACCGGAGGGCTGACTTGGTCATCGCTCCGGTTTTTCTTCTTGACCTCGATGCCGAGGCGGGCATCGGGGGCATTTTGTTGGATCTGAAGGCGTAGGTCGACAGCCGCCTGTTCCAGCCCAGCGATGACACCACCCTCGGGAGCCCTGTGAGAGGCTTCGGGGGCGTTGACGTCGCCGAGGGCCAGGTTCTTGTCTTCTACGTTCTTTGAGTTGGCACGTGTTGTCCTCACCATTTTGATAGAGGGCTAGTGTTTTGTGTTTGGTCGAGGGGGAGGGTTTCTTACTCGATTGTTCGACCTCTCAACGAGAGCACCAAATGATGGATAGTCTACCCGGGGGTATATATCCGGAGGGTTATTACGAGGAATAACCTAGAGAGAAGCCAGAGTAAACAAGTAAGTGTAGAGAGAGAGAGTGTATTTAGTATGAATGCCGTTTTCAGCATGGTTACAAATGAGGAAATGGGGTGCTATTTATAGTAGCAATAAATGCCGGACAGGGACACGTGTCAAGCGCTCATTGGCCGAGGGGTCACCTCAACTGGTTGGCGCTGGCAGCCGCATGTGGCCGCATTTAATGCAGCTGTTGGATGGGACGTCTGTGCAGGGTACGGTGATCTGCACGCATGTGGGGCGGATATCTTGTCGGGTGAGATGCCTTCGGCTATAGAGCAATGGCCGAGGGCTCCTCCAACCGATGACACTCTGGTGCCGAGGGCTCACAGTGCCGAGGGCTACTGTTTTAGCCGTTTTCTCCCAGTTTCTTAATTTGCTTGCGAAGCCCGTCCTGTGAGAGTTTAGAGCCTTCGGCCAGGGGGCCGAAGGCACCCCTGGCGCGTAGTGCGGGCTGCTTGGTACTCTGGGCGCTGTGATCTGGGCCTGTTGAGCCTTCTGGGCCTGTTGGGCCTTCGCTGGAGTAGTAGGAGTCTGTGGGCCGGGGGTTCCCGGGCCATATACTCCATCAGCCCCCCTTCACACTTGTGCGCGCAATTAAAAATCACAATTCAGCTTTCCCAATTTAAAAACCAGGAATTGAAATCTTTTCTCGTTCAGAGCTTTTGTGAATAGATCAGTCGATTGAAGCTCTGCACACAAAGTATAGGTCCACATTACCTTTCTCAATATGATCTTTGATGAAGTGAAATGTCATGTCAATGTGCTTAGTGCGATAATAATGAACCGGGTTGCATGAGCTAGCAATCGCACTTTTTGAGTCACTGTAAATTGGTATATGGTCAAAATAAAATCCAAAGTCGCGTAGTTGAGTCCTCATCCATAATACTTGTGAACAACAGCTAGCAGCAACAACATATTCAGCCTCTGTTGTAGATGTAGACACACAATTTTGTTTCTTTGAGGACCAACAAACCAGTTTCTCTCCAAGAAATATTAATTCGCAATAGTGAAAGTGAGTTAATTATTAATTACTCCGTAGATTAATATATTTAATTCATCATGTTGAAGAAGAGTTCTATTTGATAGAATTAATTAAGTAAGATAAAGGGCTTTTGTCCTAAATATTAGTAATAAAGGGTCGATTGACAAAAAATTGACCCTTTTTTAAATATTCCAAAAAATGTGACTAATAATTAATAAGCCTACTTACTTACCCACTTTCCATAGTGATTTGCTACAGTGAAACGCTACAGTGAAACGCTACAGTGACATGAGATGCAGTGACATCCACCCCCACCCTCACATCCGACCGGTGACCGCTGCCTGCCGGAGACCGTCGCCGGCCATAGTGACAATGATGTATCGTCGTGACGCCGTCGTATGGACACGCCGCCGTAGTGACGCCGCCGTAGCGACTCCATCGTGAACCACCGCTGCCGGCTACTGCAGTTACATCTCCGCAGTGACACCAATTATTCCGACCACAGCTATTCCGGCCACCACCAATCACCACCACCAGACGCCCCACCACAAGAAAACCCATATCCCAACGCCCACCACCGGAAAACCTCCATCCCAACGCCCCACCACCGGAAAAACCCCTCCCAACGCCGACCACCGGAAAACCCCGATCCCAACGCCGACCACCGGAAAACCCCCATCCCAATGCTCCATCCCCACGCCCCAGCCCCACCCTCTCCTCAGCCCGCAACCACCTTCCCATCCCCTAGACCCCTCCCTAGCCCCCACCCCGACCAACATCGCCCCCACCTCATCTCATTGGCCCATCTCATCTCCCGACCCCCATAGCACCCCCACAGCCCTGCCCAACAAAGATGCACCCTAGCCCCACCCACCCACGCCGCACCACAACCTAGATCTGAAAGTCTAGCAGCCACCATCATTCAAATCTGGCCGATTAAGGATCTGAGTTATTAAGGTGGTGTTGCAGAGCTCAAGGCCGGCAGTGGCTTCGTCTATGGCGGCAGCAGAGCTCACAGGCGGCGGAGGCGAGGCGACGGGATGGGAGGCAGCAGAGCTCGAGGCGGTGGCTTCGTCCATGGTGGCAGCAAAGCTCACAGGCGGCAGAAGCGAAGCGACGGGATGGGCGGTAGCAGAGTTCGAGACGGTGGCTTCGTCCATGGCGGCAGGAGAGGTCACAGACGGTGGCTTTGTCCATGGCGGCAGCAGAGCTCACAGAGTCACACGCGAGATGAGAGATGGAGAAGGATGAGATGAGGAAGTTTGGAAGTCAACTCCAACACTGTGCGAGAAGATGAGATGCAGACGAAGGAAAAAGAGGCAAATGTTGAGTCACTTTTTGTCAAGTTTAAAAGTGGTCATATTTTGGTCCTTCAAAACTTTGAGAGTATTATTCTTGCCATTGTTTCTAAGATAAATTAGATTTATTATACTTAATTAATTAAGATGTATTTATTTATTATTAAATAAATTGATATTTTCTTTTAATTTGGAATTAAAAGGGAAAGGAGAAAATAAATAATAATTGGGATGGGGAGGGTGGCGTGACCCTCTTCCTCCCTTTTTATTATTTTATTTTGATTTTTATGTGTTTATTTTATTAATGATAAATATTGGTTGTGGTAGGATTATAACCTATTAATGACAAAGACTTTCATTGTGATTAAGAAACTAGTTTAAAACTAGTATAAATGCACTCTCCTCATTCATAATTGATGGACGAGTTTTCTAGATTCAGTATTACCAGTTTATTTCCCTACGAAGAGATTTCATAGCCTTTCTCTATGGGAGATCTAACCGTTCTTTTGGAATGAGAAAGCAGGTGGATACTTAAGGTCAAGGATTATCACCGTTAGGCTGGAAGACGTGTAAGTTTTGACTCGGACCTGTTATTTTGTTATATTCGTTGTTTTGTCATAATCAATGAATATTTGTTTGAAAAAATTTTAAACTCCCGCTACTGTACTTTCGAGGTAGGTTACGTCAATTTCCTAACAAACCCTTCAGCTGAAAATGGGCTTGCTCACTCTTGCTTTCCCTTCTATCCATCTAGAATTTCTTCTTTTTTGTTGAGGAAATCTCAATTTCCATATTTTCCATTCATAATCTAAGAATCTTACCCCTCGAATATCATCCACACATGATTCTCTTTTTTGTTCTTATTTTTTTAAATTGACCTGGTTTTTTATCAAGTTCTTTGTTTTTAGGTGGTAGAAGTTTGGTGAAAAGTTTCTAGATTTTCCTTTTTTTGTAGAAAAAATCCGTTTTTAGCCAATATACTACCAAACACTTTCACTTCATCAGATTCATTTTTTTAGCCTTTTCAGGCATTGCAACCGCTACCAAACAGGTCTTTCATTATTATTTTTTAAAATAAGCATTTAGATTTGTTGAAATCTACTTTGAATCTAGTCTAGTCTAGTAAAGATTTAATACATATGTATTTTACTATAATCTACATTAGATCTAATCTGATCAGGTTAGGAGGTTGAAATCTATTTTTAAAATATCCACACAGTGTAGTACTATATGGGTTTAAGCATGACAGAAAAGTTATCTATGACAATTTATTTTTCATATTTAAACAACATAGATGAATTGGAAAATCATCATTCTAACATTCTAATTTATAAAATAACCTAGACGAAACTAACTGCATTAATAAGATGATATTATCAAAAAAGAGAAGCACGATGCTTGGCATGCCGCTTCAGCTCAAAAGGGCTGAAATTTTACAAATTCAGCTAATTATCTTGAAAGTAGCCATGTTTGGACAAGTAGCTTAAGTGAGCTTAAACTGAAAAAACTAACTGAAATGAAACGTTGCTCAAGCTAACGTTTCTTTTCAGCCGGTGATAGAGTAGACCTTCAATACCAATTCTATCCTTAGGCATATTTTGCAAGTCGATGCCGCAGTTCCCAAATGACTTCAATGAAGACGATGTCTCTGCTGCTGCCGGCGAATTCGACGAAGACCCCTCGCTGCTCCCGACGGCTGCAATTCGACGAAGGCGACGCCACAGCTCCGGATTTCCGTCTCCTTAACCACTGGTAATTTTTTCGCATGAAGAATTTGGATCCTAGATTCAGTATTATCTATGGGTTTTGGATGAAATTGTGGTGATGGGAAAAATTACCTAGTACTCCGTACATGTCCTTTTATTATGTATGAAGTCTTCTCTAGTTTTGAGTAATTGTTTGATTTGTGTAATTGCAATAACTCTGCTTTCAGACTCCTGGAGAATTCAATTGTTTCAAGCGGAGCAAATTCTTCGTGGAGTTGGCATCTCACTATTCAGACCACTCCTGGGTTAGCCGGGATGTAAGTAGACTCAGCAGAGCACATAAACTAAACAGGAACCTTATTCTTCACGGAGAATCATGATGGAAGTGATTTGCTTAAGAAATCTTATGATTGTCTGAAGTGCTTGATAGCTGCCTGCTTGAGTATATTTTTGGCATGACTAAACAATATTTGACTATTGAGCTCTTTCTTTGGAAACTTTTTCATAAAGCCATCCCTATTCCTCAGAATCTCTTAAGGTTTAAGTATTGCATCCTTCCCTAAATTTGTCCATATTGCAATAAAGAATATGCCTTTAAAAATCATTTTTTCAAATACCTTCATGAGCATTCTTCACATACATTAGTCCTCTTTTAACTGTTCATTGAGACAAATCTTTTCCTCATGGTGACTTGAAGTCGGACTGTTTTTTTTTTAAACAGTCGGACTAAAATATAAAAACTGTTATAATAAATATTTGATTCTATTAATTAATAAATCATACTCTCTCCGTCCCCCTATTTTAATGTAGTTTCTGAATATGCAACTTTTTTTTCAAAAAAAAAATTCGAGTGCGGACAGGAATCTGTTTGCTTTATCGTCAGTCAAGCATCGTAAACCGCAATGGGACAATAACAGGGGGACGAAGGTAGTATGTCCTTTAATGTCATTTCATATTATCCCTGCAATGTTTCAGCTCTTTTTGCCAAACAGATCTACTTCATTCAGTTAGCAATTCAAATTCAACACTCCAAAGTTCAGCTCCAGACAATAGTCTCTGATTCAGACAACAGTCCTTATTTCAGACATTAGTCTCTAGTTCCAGCTTGTTGTGCCAAACATAGCCTTAGTAGAAAAAAGGGTTTAATGCACCAAACCTCGACCCCTCCTGAAATACAAATTCGGTGTATTAGCCCTCTCTTTGATTTAAAAAATGTGACCCCCGTGTTTTAATTATTCATGCACAAAACCCCCTCCAAGAACAAATTTTTATAATTTGAAATCATTTTTCTTAATTATGTGATTGAATATGCAAGTAACTTTGTCAAAAATTCTAAATTATACAAAAAAATCATTTTTCATTTATTTGACAATTAAATTTGTTCATTGAAGGGGTTTTGCGCATGAATAACTATAGCACAAGGGGGTTTGACGCATTTTTTAAATCACATGAGATTAATGCGTCGGATTTATATTTAATGAGGAGGTTTGATGCATTAAACCCTAGTTAAATGCACCAAAAAAACAAAAAAAAAACAAAAGAAAACTAGAAAAAAATCATAACATTAGAGTAAATCAACCGAAAAAGGGCGACCTAAAAAGGAGTAAAGGCATAAAGCAAATCCAAATATTAAAATAGGATGAAAGGAAAATCGACAGGTCAAGTACCTCTTTCTCCGTCACTTGAAGATTGTTTTTGTTGGGTGGGTTTCAAAAAACGAAGAATATAATTAATAAAAATTAATTAATAAAATGACTAAAGAAAACAGAAAATAGACGAAGCAGAATTTAGCTAGAGCTCGTGCTATGCACGATGTGTTTAAAACGTATTCGTCGTCTCCCACGATGCCAGGAGCGTTGCAACGACCGTTTCGCAGGATACGATGGCTAACGAACGATCATTTGAGCACACAAACGAAAGTTCCGGCGAACGAGAACAAGCTAGAACACTCAGGAATTTTTCAGGAAAGCTGGAGGCGTTTTTAGAGATCAAAAAACGTGCAGATTATGCATGATTGCATGTATGAACGTGTGTTTGTTGCAAAACAGCTGCCAGCTATTTATAGGAGGATTTGTTGTGTGTTAATGTGAGAGTTAAAGGACCTGAACGTTGGACATCAATGACCAGTCCGTTGGACATTGAATCATCTATGAACTGTCCATTTAACGCTGCATAAAGACATAAGAACGTTGGTCATTTATTGCTGTAACGGTTCGGAACCGTTCAACCGCGTGACCAGAATACCCCCACGAGGTGTTCTGGTGTGAAGCCACCAGAAGACCTCATGATCTTCTTGATCCGAAGCCAACAGAAACCCTCTCATGTCTTCTGGTCCGGAAGTCAAAATGAAAAACATAAAATGAGATAGAGGTAATACTTAATTTGATAAAATTCGTGTGATTCTTAATTGTTTATACAAAGTACTTTATACGGAGTATTTACTTTATCAATTCATTTTTACTATCACTTTCTCAGCTGCCTATGTTTGTGGAATCAGACTTGGGGTACACACTCTTACACACTTATGTGTTTGAGGCGTTTTTTAATGTCTGTTCCAGACAAAACGTATTTGACAAATACGTTTTGTCTGGAACAAACATAACAAAAGCCTTCACAAACATGAGTGTGAGAGTGTATAAGAGTGTGTACCAATAATGTGTACCAATAATGTGTACAAATAATGTGTACCAATAGATTTTTTCATGTGCTGAGACTCTGACTAGTAGCAAAAGCCTGAGGGGTCGGGGTGCACCCAGAAGGGCCTACATATAAATAAACAAAAAATGGAGATAGAAAGACTCATCAAACAAGGAGGCGTATCCGATTCATGAGAATGGGGAAGGGAGAGAAGACGGGGTTAGGGCGTGCTCTTGTGAAGCACCACAACCAGATGGTTCAGCAGGCCAAAGAGAAGGGACGCGCCTACTGGCAACAACACAAGAAGGTTCTTGAATCCGTCACTGAGGTGAACGACATAGATGCAGTCATCGGTCAAGCTGATGAGGCACTCCGCCTATTCTCCGCCCAACATCCTCCCGTTAACCTTCCCATCAATTTGTAAGCCATTTACAAGTGTTGGTTTTCTGTGCCTGTCAATGGTACCGGCGAGTTCTGAACAATTTTCCAGCAGAAATTTCCTGTTCCTGGTTTAATTTAATAGAAGCTTGTATTTTGACTCACCTTAACTCATAATAAACTTTGGTCAATCGTTTCAATTAATATATATTTGGGAAACTTATAGTTTTTATACATTCATGAAAGTGTTTTTGCACAAAAGAACATTTTCTTATCACTTTAATGATATAAATGCTTTGGTGTTTAAATATATAATCGTTCAAAGGTTAGCAAGGCTAACTAAAAAGGGTTGGAGAGAGTATTTGAATATGAAGTGAATATTGAATGCTGGGTTTAAAAGGAGTTTCAGTTTTAGCTTAGCTTAAGTAAATGTTGAAACTGCGAAGTAGGGTATATCAGCTCATGAGTTCAGGACTTCAGCCCACCTTCTTCTTAGCACCAAAATGCCAACGAAGGATTAAAAATTTGATATTCTGGGACAGTAAAATGAAAATAAGGGTAACTAGAAGGATTAAATGGTTACTTTCTTGGAAGAAAATTCTATTGATTATATTTTAGTCCTTAATGTTAATGCTAATGAATTTGATCATTGATTTTACAGTGACTTAAAGGAATCTGACAACTTTTTTTGCTCTAAATTGCTACACAGAGGAACAAAGTAGAAGGGTTGTGTGTCTTTAGAATTCGCTTAATGAACCCATCTTTGCATGTCATGATAGGGACTCAGGCTCTAGCTATAGTGAGGTTGCACCTGAGAAAAAGAGAGAGTTACAAAAGAGGGAGGAGGAATTGCATGCTAGCAGTCTTCGTGTTCCACGGAGGCAAGACTTATAATCTCTTTGAATCCAGTCAATCCACTGAATTATGTGATTTTCAGCTTGGTTTATTTATTTAATTATTTGACTAATTACTTTACAGACCCCCATGGGATTCCAAAATGACTATAGAAGAGTTTGATGACAATGAAAGGCGAGCTTTTCTAATTTGGCGTAGGAGCCTTGCAAGGTTAGTACGGAGATATTAAATGTGTGTCACATTATTGTATTGTCTGTCTAGTGTCTATATTTTGGTGTGCGGGTGGATTAAATTTTCTACAATACTGATTAGTCCACTGGTGAGTAGAACATGAAAAGTTGTTTTTCCACTATGCCAATGCTCGTGTGGTAACATTTCTTGAGGTTTTGCAATCTCTGACAGTAATTTGTCTTAGGTTTTAGTACCCTAGCTTTCTAATTGTGAGGAAATCCAGTCCATTCTAGATTTCTGATCTATTTTGTGTGATCATCTCCAAATTTAACAAGGTTTTTTGCATTTATTATTATTTATGGACATGCTTTGATCATTCTCATTCAAGCCCATTTGAGTTTGTCTCATTTAAGGATGTATTCTTTTATGTTTTGTAATAGTGAAAGGATAGGCTATACTCATATCAGCGAATGGCGTATAGAGTTCTATGTTCACAATTATATTCTTTTATTTGGCAATGGCAGACACACGTACACTGGGCTTTTACATCATATAAAGTTTATAAATGTTGTCTTGATATAGGAAGATTTAATGAATTACTATAATACATATGAAACATATCATTTGACTTGAAATTGGATGTTCGAAATAGTACTTCTACGAATGCTTTTTGAAGGGTTGTAAAAAAAAGGTAAAAATAAAATGGAGCGAGCACAATGACAAATGGAAAACTAATAATGGATATAAGGTAGCAACAGTTGGTTGTCTTCTGATCCTACGCCCTCAGCACGACCTTAAAATCAGATAGACAGTAAAAATATCAAAATGTAACATTTCAGACCAGGTTCACTTAAAAAGCAAAAAAAAAAATCAGACCAGGTTCACTTATGAAATAAATTATGCATCTGATTTTATGGAGCAAATCTATGATCAAAAGCTGTGTATTCTGAATAACAACAACATCCAAGCCTTAATCCCAAAAGAATTTGGGGTCAGCTAACATGAATCGATCTATGATATCGATGCCAAACAAAGAGACGGATAAGGAGGGGGGGAAGAAGTAAGATAAAATGGATAAAATAAAGATAAATAAATATAAGATAACAATAACATAAGAATATAAGAAAGATAAAAGATAGAAAAATAGAAGAGCATAAAAAAGCTAAAAGATAAAAATAACATAAGAATATAAAAGATAAAGAAGATAAACGACGAAAGAAAAGAGAGGAAATGTAGAAAAGACATCAATCGTTCACATGGATGTGCGCCCTCCACTTTGCTCTCTCCAAAGCCATACTCCCATCCAACTCAAGAAGACGCATATCAGTTCTAATTCCTCTCATCCAAGTCTGTTTGGGTCTTCATCTTCCTCTCTTCTCGGTCTCTTCTCCCCACCCCTCAATTTCTCTAACATCACTCGATCTTCTACGCACATGCCCAAACCACCGTAAACGAGACTTCTGCATCTTATCTTCTATAGGTGCTACTCCCACCTTTTGTCTGATTATCTCATTTCTCAAGCGGTATTTTCTGGTATGTCCACCCATCCAACGCAACATACGCATCTCTGCCACATTCATCTTTGAATGTGGCATTGCTTCACCGCCCAACACTCTACGCCATACATTAATGCATGTCTTATTGCTGTTCGATAAAATTTACCTTTCAGTCTAGTCAGTATACCTCGATCGCATAGAAATCTTGATGCACTCTTCCATTTCATCCACCCAGCTCTGATTCTTCGACATACATCTCAATCTAATTCACCATCCTTCTGAATTATGGAGTCCAAATAACGGAACATATCACACACCGCTATCTCCTTATCATCAAGAGTAATCCCACTGTTGCTACTACTTGTACCTCCACCAAACTTGCACTCCATATACTCAGTCTTGCTTTGACTCAGTCTGAAACCCTTGGTCTCCAATGTCTGTCGTCATACTTCCAACTTCTCTTTAACACCGGATTGCGTGTCATCAATCAAAGCTAGAAAAATATACTTAACCTTCCCTTAAGCGAGATCTCGTAGAGGAAGAGTACATTGTTGAATCATCCTAATAAATGATGGGTTGAGTTAATTATCAGACTGTGTACCTTATTCAGCTGCATCTTCTTGAAAACTTTTTTCTAGGATCATAGAATCAATTTCAACCCTAACTGTCAAAACAGTCTCAGTATGTGTTAGGAAAAGGAAATTAAGCAAGGAAGATTTTAGCAGCAGAAACTTAGGGCCATCCTTCGATCTGTAACCCTGTGGCATAAAAAACAAAGGGAATGGAAAGGTCTGCTGCTCTGATCACACTTGGCAAAAGTTTATCTGTTTCTAACTTACAACACATCATTGCTCGTTAAAAGAGGAATACTAGTTGATTTAGTAACATAAAGGAGTTCAGTTCAAACTGGATGTCAGGCTTGGCCCAACATTGGATTTGCTTTCAGACAACCAAGGTGGCGTTCATTCAATAAAACATTTAGCTTGCCCAAAGGTGTCCTGACTCCATCTCAAAGAAGGATGTGTCCAGGATTCAGTACTCTAAGATTTACTTCTTTAGGTCTGATTCATATTTGTCAGTCAGCCTTTGCTTTATTTCAGATAGTCATTCTAGGTGACATTAGTTTTCCAGTGGTTGCATTTTTAACAAGTTCTGCCCTTTTTATTGTCTAGCTGACCTTTCTCTCCTTCGTAAAGATTATTACCTGAGAATTCTTTGAATTCCTTGAAGTTCACCCAGAAATGTTGCAAGTTAATGCCCTACTTATTTAGTGATTGCTTTGTATAGTGTCTCAAAAATTCATACATATGATTATTTTGCTAGGTAGTTAACTCGCTACTCGGTAGTAACTCGGTCAAGGACCGAGTAACGAGTAGGACCGATTACTCGGTGATTACTCGGCCTTCATCATTATCATTCATCATTATCATTACCCCAGTGCCGCAAAGGCTCCCACCTACAGTGGGGTAAGGAGGGTCGGATGTACGCAGTCTTACCCTTGTACTAAAGCACAGAGAGACTGTTTCCGGATGACCCATAGTGAAAATCGCGTCAAAAATTGCATGGACTGACTGTTACTTCATAACAAAGAAGCGCAGACAGTTTAGTGAGCCCATTTGCTTTATTCCATCATATTCCCAAGCCAAAAAATAATGAGTTTTTGGCTCCATTGCAAATTATGGAAAATGTAATGGTCTTGTATTAATTAAATTTAATAACATAAGTGCCAGAGTTTATAGAAATGTAATGGTCTTAAAATTATCTTAAAATGCATAGAAATGAATAAAATGATAGAAATGCTAATGATGGAGTAGCAAAAGTCATAAACATTATAAGTTTTCATGAAAAACAATCATCTAATAATTTCGTAAGATCTCCGTTCTCTCCCCATGTCCATCCTATATCATCTTTTTCTCTCTCAAGTGTAGTATTAGCATATTCAACCCCATTAGAAGCCTCAGGAGGTTGAGCAGAACTCATGATTGTCAATTAGATGATGTGTGACAGTATCAATCAATGATATGTCATAGTAAACAATCAATATACTGATATTAATTAAAAGTTACGTAGTATAACATATATAGTCATACTAGTGAAAATAATTTATTTATATCAAAACATATGTGTGTTGATACTTTAAAATAAAAATCAACTGAAGGATGGAAGGGTGGAAGAAGAAGAAACAAGAGAGGGGACTGGGAAAGATACGAGAAAAAAGATGACAACTTATTAAAAATCAATTGACAAGGGGGATAGTAGATGTCAGAAATTCCGTTCAATTTAGGTTTTGTAACTTCATTTTTCAAATTTTTAAGGGGGGTTCGAGTTAGACCGAGTAACTCGCCGAGTTGAAAACTTCACCGAGTTAGAAACTTGCAGAGTAACTCGAAAATAAAACACGGACCGAGTTAGGTAGCTACTCAACAAGGTCAATATCCGAGTTGCGAGTACTCGCCGAGTACTCACCGAGTAGATAACCCAGTTATTTTGTATGGAGTGTTTATCTTACTTATAGAAATGCCTTCATTACATTATACGCTATACACTTATGCTAATTCCTTAAGTTTTGATAAAGATTTTTTCATGATTAAATTTGATACTTTCTTAAATTAATGCATTAAGAATAGTATTAACTATTAATAAAACGTTGTGGGTTTCATGGTCTTTTCTAAGTAATGGTAGATATTTAAATTCGATATCCTCACATAGTCAAGCCTAGTTGAATCAAATACTTTTATTAACAAATTTAAAAAAAACTCATAACTCCAAATCAGAACTGATATGAATCGATAAAAGTAGTCATCAATAAAAGTAGTGCAAGACAAAAAATAAAGTTCAGTGATAGTCTTGTGTTTATTTCATACTATTAATTTAGTAAAAATGGGATGATGGTTAGGAGGTTTTTGTTTATTTTATATTACTGTTTACTTATACCAATTATTTTATAAATAGAAATATAGAATATAGTTTTATTCAGAAAGAACTTAAAACAATGTATATGTGAATAGGATTACTGGTAATCACATTAGTGGTTCGATATAGCCTATAAAACCGCTTAATGTGCTGCCAGTTGAATGTTGACAGACGAACCGAATACTATGATATTACATTTCATCTGTTACATGATCCATGGTAATCAGATCAGTGGCATCATATCATGAACCGTACAATCCCTGAAGATCAAATATCTTACTTCTTCTGTGTCATATTCCGTCCTGCTCTAAATATTTGCTCAATTTGAATAGACACAGGGTTTAATAAGGTGGAAATGGTGTTTTTGAGATTTACTTTAAAAGGGAGAAAAATACATTGAACCTCATATTGTTTTCTTTAAAATAAAAGCAATGTCTTCAGTGTTTTTATTCCAAACAAGTCTAACTTTTCATATAATTCCAGAAAATGAAATATGAACAAGGCAAGTATTTGGAATTTACTTGAACCAACAATTAAACTAGCAAAATATAAGCAGTAATAATGATTCATAGTAATTGTATGTATAACATAAAAAGTCTAAAGGTGGAGGAAAAATGAAAAAGTAGGACATATAAGATAAAAAAAGTTAGAAAAGTAGGAAAGATAAGATAAACAAGGCATTTGTATCTTTTGATACATATGTAAATGCCAAAATGGAAATGGGAGCAAGTAAATAAAAAGCTTCCTTAAAATGATAACAAGAATGTAGAGCAAATAAAAGCAAATGGATGGAGTAAAACCTAGGGCTACTCACCACCTCGCCCTTAATTGTGCGTCAATGCATTTGCCATATTGTATGTAAACATGGTTCTGATTTCTGCAGACTTGAGGAAAATGAGAATCTTGTCTTGACTCCATTTGAAAAAAATCTTGATATTTGGAGACAACTTTGGAGAGTGGTGGAGCGTAGTGACTTGGTAAGATGTTGCGTTTTACTTTGGCTCTTGTAATCACCAAACATTACATGTTTGCTACTATTTTATTTGCTTTATCAAATGTATGTTTGACCTTATAGTTTGTTGATTATGGAGGGGTGACTTGTTGGTGTATGTATTTCTATCCCATTAACTGCAATATGGATACCTTGTGCGAAGGTGGTGGTAACCAGGACTGGTAGCTTGACTGTGTACAGCCAAGTCTATACAGTCTTTGAGGTTGCTAGTTTGTCTCCTAGAAGGGCCAGTGGAGGTTTATCTGGTTTTTAACTTCAGGGTCCATGTGATTAGCCAACCAAAATGGTCTGAAACCTATGATAAAAAGAAAAAGCTGGCGGTGGTTTCAGAAATTCTTGAATTCACAACTTCTTTATTGTTCAACCACCAAGAGTAGAATTTCAGTCATCATCACCACCTCAATTACAACTACAATGGGGTCGGTTGCATGAAATTTGTTGTAGCATTCAATTACCCAAAACTATTTAACACTAAAAGTTGATTTAACTCTGGCATAACAAGAAAGCATAGTGGCACGGCTTTTATGCTGGATACAATTCCTGTTACACCCTTTGAGAGAATGAACAAGGAGATGAAATGCCAAAACTGTCATGATCATAGTCATCATCGTCATATAACAAAACAAAGTTTGCCTCAACTCTCAAGAATATATTTCATTAATGAGGATTTAAAATTCTTTTATAAAAAGTAAACCTTGAGAAGTGTTGTGAGGAGGAATTCTGGAAAAATATTTATATAAAATTAATACTTCTAATATAAAATTGATATTTAAATATAAAATATTAATATATATGATATTGGTTTACGATAGTTGACTAATGATAAAGTTAACTCTTCCTTGATGATATTTAAATTAATATTGATAATTAAAATTTACATATTTAGAAAGTACAATAAAAGTGTTATTGAGCCACAAAAACTGAATTCAAATATGATAAAAATCTATTATATACAACCAGAGATTAAAAGATAGTTTAGATGACTGTGAGAGTAGTGTCTAAGAATCTTGAATTGTGGATGAGAGAGTGTATGTATTGGTTCATGATGTTGAGGTTTGTGATTTGCACAGTAAGTTGCTTAATACGTTTCTTTTTTCCCCTAGCTTGTGATGGTGGTTGATGCACGGGATCCCCTCTTTTACCGCTGTCCCGACCTTGAGGTAATATCTAATCTTTCTGTTTTGAAAAGCTTTTTTGAGTTTGTGACTGGATGTTTCAGATCTCTTATAGCACTACAACCTGACATTAATTTTAGTACATTATCCCTTTTTAATTGTTACACCAAGTTATTTGCCGCTTCAATTATTGATATTAATTATTAAACGAGGGGGAGGGGATTTATCTGTTGTTTAAATTATGAAACATGTGATTTTATTCTTGAGTCAATCTTTGTTTGAACATCTTTTTAGGATGAGACCTCAAATCTTAATATGTTAATTAAGTGAAAATGACAAATTGTTCCGACTAAAAATCAGAAGCACATGGTTTCAAGATCAGCCTGCTCCTAGAGCTACAATCTTGTCCCTTTCAAAAAAAGGAGCTACAATCTTGTCATCCAGCATTAATCAAGCATAAATATATGTATTTACATTCTAAGCTTTAGGCTATCTCCTGCCATCAGGTTGACAAACTCTCATCTTAAAATAAATTCTAAAATAAAATTGCAACTCTTAAAATAAACGAGGTCTTTACCTGCATCTTTGTTGCTTTATTTATCATTTATCAGAAGGGGGAGCATGGGGTTAAGTGGTAGGTGTGTTAGTTAATTTGGTGACTGAATGTTTTAATTGAGTCACTGGAAGTTTTATTTTTGGTTAATGTAATATATATTTGGGGCAGTGCGGGTGTTAATATTTTGTGCAGATACTAAATCTTAGATTTGTTATATTATTGCATGAAGCGTAACTGTGTAAGAAGCCAGGGTAACACTGGAATTCCATCTTTCCGTTCATTTTTTAATTTGACTCACTTGTTTGTACAATTTTTATTTGGTCAATTTGAGGTCAAATGGCTGTTTATTGGTGATGTGTCCATACTAACTGCAATGACGAATTTGTATTTGCTTCACCCATTTACAGGCATATGCACAAGAAGTTGATGAACACAAAAAGACTATGCTTCTAGTAAACAAAGCAGATCTTTTACCTTTATCTATCAGGTTAGTATCACATTATCTTTTATATGACAAATAGCCAGTTCTCTCAATTTTGTAGATACTGTTTTATCTTAATCACTTCCACCCAAGAAACAACTTTCTTTAATGGGAAATAAAAACAAACTTTTGCAGGAAAAAATGGGCCGAGTACTTTCATCGCCATGACATTCTTTATGTATTTTGGTCTGCAAAAGCTGCTACTGAAGCTCATGCAGAGAAAGAAGTTAGTGCCTTGAAGATTCAAGTAAATGATTTGCAAGAGGAATCAGATGATGAAGATACAAGGATATATGGTAGGGAGGAACTGTTGGCCCGTTTATTGTCAGAAGCAGAGGACATAGTCTTGACTAGGAATCTTTTAAGGCCCATTCTTCCCTTAAATTCATCAAGAAACACACAAGCTAGAGGTGGTGCAATGGTTGGATTTGTAGGGTATCCTAATGTTGGTAAAAGTTCCACCATTAATGCTCTTGTAGGGGCAAAACGAGCTGGCGTAACTTCCACTCCAGGAAAGACAAAGCATTTCCAAACATTGATAATATCTGAAAAACTCACACTGTGTGATTGCCCTGGCCTAGTCTTCCCATCCTTCACAAGCTCAAGGTATGAGATGATTGCTTCGGGGGTTTTGCCGATTGATCGGATGACCGAGCACCGGCAGGCCGTTCAGGTTGTGGCAAACCGAGTTCCTAGAAAAGTCATAGAAGACATCTACAAAATTTCCTTACCCAAACCAAAGCCATACGAACCACAATCACGTCCACCTTTGGCTTCAGAGCTTTTGAGTGTCTATTGTGCCTCCCGTAGCTATGTTTCTGCCAGTGGACTTCCTGATGAAACAAAAGCAGCCCGCCAAATTTTGAAGGATTATGTTAATGGGAAGCTTCCTCACTTTGAAATCCCACCTGATGATCATGACGACAATGATGACGATAATGATGAGGAGGAGGAGGATGAGGATGAGGATGATGAAGCTAGCCAGTCAGACCATGGTTCATTTGATATTGATAAACAACGTCTTGTAAGTGAACTACAAGATGCACCGAGTCTGGACCATGTGTTGAACGATCTAAATGCATTTGACATGGCTAATGGGCTAGCTTCCAGAAAAAATGGAATAGCTGCTAAGAAGAAGTCCTCAAATGCACCTCATAAACAGCATAGGAAGCCACAACGAAAGAAAGACAGAACATGGAGGGTCAGTAATGATGGCGGTGATGGCATGCCAGCGGTTAAAGTTTTCCAAAAGCCCATTAATACTGGTCCTTTAAAAATCTAGCCAGGTCAATCGGAGAACCTTTTGTCATGGGGGGATTTCTTGTTGGATTATTGGATTGCAAAAAAAGCCATCTTGACTTGCCACTGCTTCTTGTAGTTGTACTTTCTGTGCTTTTGTACTGCCACTTTTCTGGTCTCGTAAATTTGTTTGTCAACACATCAATGAAACGTGTAATGAATATATAATATGACACTCTTGGTTGCAAGATTGAGCCCTTTCACTCTTATGTTGCAGAGATCTTTTAGGCATAAGTTTTTAAGTTTATGCAAGTTTGTCACAGTTTGGTTGTTGAACTGAGAAACTAGTATTCTTGAAGTAACTGGGTTAAGATTGGGTGTTTGTCTTCCTATCCATAGAGATAACGCCACTCATATTGGTAATTGTTGTATTGATGAACCAAGCTGCCCGATAGTAATCCATGAAAGAAGCTGATTCGCATGTATGATATTGGTGGCCTAAGGGTTGAGAGTTAACATGTAATTTTAATGGAATCAAAGAACTACATTTATGGAATCTACGATATCTTGTGTGCAAAGGAAACCAACCGTAAAAGTTGGGTTGGATTGTCCAGTTTAGGCTGTTTAGCTCAAGGTATATGTATGTCTTTTGAGAACTGTAAAAATATCCTTAAAATCATATATATATATATATATATATATATATATATATATATATATATATATATATATATATATATATATATATATATATATATATATATATATATATATATATATATATATATATATATATATATATATATATATATATATATATATATATATATATATATATATATATATATATATATATATATATATATATATATATATATATATATATATATATATATATATATAGGTTCACGTGAGAACTTAATCTTAGGAGAGTAAAAAAGAACACATCTTACCCTTAAATATATACTCCCTCCGTTTCTGAAACAAATTCCACCTTTCCTTTTCGAGCAGATTCAAAATTAAGTTCCACTTTCAAATATTTCCTTATTTGGCAAATTATCTACATCAAAACAATGTCAAACAGTGTCAAACAGTGTTCAAACAGTGTCAAACAGTGCCAAACAGTGCACTCTATAGTAAAGTTAAATTTATTTTCTTAATATGTGTGAAGTCAAATGTGGAACTTGTTTCAGAAACGGAGGGAGTATATATTTAGGTTCACGTGAGAACTTAATCTTAGGAGAGTAAAAAAGAACACATCTTAACCATTGGATTAGATTAGAACAATTTGTGCGTCTAAACCTTCATTAAGGGTAAGGAAGACAATTTCAATTATACGTTTGTAGACTTCCTAAACGTACGCTGCATGATTTCCTTCTACAACCGATTTCCTTCTACAACCGTTCTCCATGATCTCTTTCCAAAGATATTTTCCTCCATCTGTGTTCTTCTTTCCTTGTTCGAACGTGCATTTTCACATTTTGTTAAAAAAGTTGATAATTTCATCTCCTTATATTTCAATATATCTGCGGGTTTATGTTTAAATGCATTTTCATATATTATTTATGATCTAGATATTGTTAAAAATTGCACTAACACAGCTATATATGTTGCACCTTTTTAGTATCATAACTGTACCATAATGTCTGTGTAAATATTTTTGAAAGTGTGAGAGAATAATGCACTTCAATATATATTTAGATGCACATGTTTAAAGTGCATTCTTTTTTGGGTTGAAAGTGTGAGAGAACAATTAGTTACCAATTTCTACACCTATTTCCTATCGGTTGAACTTTGTGTTGATAAAAATCTCTTCTCTCAATCACTTTTATTTAATTACTTTTCCAAGCAAACAAAAATCAAAAGAAATGCATTCCCAACTTTAATCCTTAGTTTGTGCTTAATTATTTTATTTCCCGCTTCTCTGTGGTTCGACACCCTACTTCCTTGGGTAAAAAAAATAGTTGTGTGCCCATTATATGCTACACACCAACTGGGTAGCAAAAAACTCCCTCTGGTGTGATGAATGAGGTCTTCTCAGCATCATCGGGGTGCATGGAGATCTGATGGTACCCCCTGAATGCATTCATGAAAGAAAGGAGCTCGCACCCAACGGTCTAATCCACCAGTTGTTCTATGCTGGGCAATGGGAAAGGATTCATTGTGCAACCCTTATTGAGATCTGTATAGTCCACGCACATCCTCGAGGTGGGCGGCTTTGGGGCCAAGACTACGTTGGCCAGCCACTCCGAATACTGCACTTCTCTGATATGCCTGATGCCCAGCAACATATTCACTTCCGCTTTGACGAATTCTTTCCGGTCCAAGGACATGTATCTTCTCTTCTGCTTGACGGGAGCCGCCTTTGGATCTACGTTCAGCCTGCGAATTGCTACGTCCAGGCTCAGCCCGGGCATATCCTGTGGTCCCCAAGCAAATATCACCTGTCATTGCCGAGGGAAAGTGCGCATCATGCCGAGCTAAGAGACGATCAGAAGAGGATGACCTGCACCGGTCTTTGAATAAGCAACGGTCGCCATCCATGAGGAGGATAACCGAGATTGTTCTTCTCAAGTGCCAAGTGTGTCATGGCCCATGTTTGTTGGGTATGAGCTCGACCTCGTTTGACATGGGCTCGGCCTCAGCAGGAATGACCTCGGGCTCGACAGGAATGACCTCGGGCTTAGCAAGAATGACCTCGGTCTGGGCGGCATTGAGCTCAGGCTCGACAACATTGAGCTCGGGCTCATCGGGAGTGACCTTGGGCTGTGTCAGGACCTAAACTATCCTTGCTCTCAGGTCGGTCGGAAGCCGTGTACCAATCCTGACTCGTCGTTCGGGTCGGGAGGGACCGACTTTGACCTCCTCAAGCTCTGAGACGGGCTGAGCTCTGAACTGCCCTCCCTCATATCTCGACAAATCATGTTTAATAGCACTAACCCTTATACCGTTCCTCCCGTGAGCCTTGCAGGCCCTTACGTAACAACTTCTCGCCATCTTCTGGTCTTCCCTTACTGTGCCAATCCCGGCTGGCGTATAGAACTTCATGCACACTACACAATAAAAAATAATAATGATATAGTTCAACTCATCGCTCAGGCTTAGTTTGAATTTGATATCCGGAATGACAAGCCCCAAGGTCAAAGTGATATTATATCAATTATATTTTTTATTATGATTTTACAATGTCTTTTTATCAAATTCATTTTTGGAATTGTAATATATGAGTATGACAATGAGAATTAAAGAGCACTTAGCTTCCTATCCGTATTTGTAATGAATAATACTAAAGGTACCCCAAAATTGTATCTCATTTTTACCTCACTCCTAATTGTGTGGCCATAAATGGGGCAACTCATTTAAGTGGGACACCACTTAAATGAGTTGTCTCATTTATGACCACACAATAGAGATGTGGTAAAAATGGGGTACAACTTTGGGATACCTTTAGCATAGCTCGTCTCCGGAGTGTCCTTGGTCGGTGACGCCGGCGGAAAGGAGAGGAGCTATGGACCCGCCGCCGCCGCTGGTATCATGAGCAAAGCTCACGAACGACCATTAATGGCGGAAACTCTCAAAGGCTGTCAACGCCGTACAACAGATCCTTAGCCGCGAGTGCCAATATCAACTATGCAAGAGTTCACAAGGCTTGAGGGCGAGCTATAATTGGTGGCGCTGGGACAGAATGACCGAACGGACGGCTGGGGCATTTTAATCCTCATCGCCAGGCAGCTTAATCCCGTTACCATGAACACTGTTCCAAAGGGCTCCATTTATCCGGCTGCTCAGTAATTCCAGCCGTGGAGCGGAGGGCAACTGGGTCCTGTACAGCACATAATTGATGAAAATCCCCGATGCACACCGATACTAGATTTTCACCCGTGCGTTGCAGGGATGCAAATTTACCAAGTTGTGTTTAGGAACGCTATTATAAAAACGTATAAATAATTGAATTTAAAATAAAGTGGAAAGTATTACAATAGGTGTTCATAGTTAAAGAGATATATGACACCATTGAAGAAGGAAAAATGAAAATATTACTACGTACTCCGTATAAAAGAGATACTCTCTCCGTCCCATTTGAAGGTTCTCTTCTACTATTCACGTGTTCAACTTAAATCATTCTTAATATTTTGCTTTATATATCAAATTTTTATGAAATTTACATATTTTTTATCAGTCTTTGTAGCGACTTAAATGTAGTTTCTGAATATGTAAATTTTGTTTTATAAAAATAATCGGAGTGTGAACAGGAATCAAATTGTTTTATCGTCGGTCAAGTGTCGTAAACTGAACCGGGAACCTCTCTGTATGGGACAGAGGGAGTATAACATTTGAGTTGCACCATGTTCGAAATTTTAAAGTAATACCATTGGACAGAAGAATTTTTGCAACTAATTATTACTTTTCCTTGAGCCACACAAACTGAAACCTTGAATATTGAACCCAATATTAATTAATAGCCACATAATTCGGGTCACATATGTAGAAACACTATTCAGAATTTCTCCTCATTTTGAATAATAGAAGATATAGGATCGATTGTAATTTGTAAATAGAATCGATCAATTCACTCTTTTGAAATTGTTGAAACTTTTTTATTTGATTAGATTTTTTTGCATACACTCCTGTTTGTGACATAATAATTCTTTGAATTTGATTTTTTCCAAGTCATAGTATAGTGAATAAGTATCACTTTTTAAGAAATATATGTTGGATTCATGAGGAATACATGAATGCATCTAAGTGTTTGAAAATTATAAGTATCTCATATATGAATATAGTAGTACTAATTGAGTTCATGATTTGATCTTTTAAAGAATTATTCATTTGCGATATGGTTGTTGTTAATTAATCATTACCTTGTATTATTTAAAAGGCCTGTTACCATATGACTCCTAATTTGCCATTCATCATTTAAAAGGCATATTAAATATTTCAATTGCCCAACCCTCATAACCGATTAACCGAGTTTTATATTGACATGTGGCATTCCAATTATTTTTCTTTTCTATATAAGTTTTTATGTATGATCCGATATTTATAAAAATAAAAATTATATAAAATTACATACTATGTATTCCTCAATGATCTTTCCAATGGTACTTGATGGATAAGTGTACCCGAGAGGTATCTATCCGAGGGGTTACTGCAGGGAGTAACTAGAGAGAAGTCAGAACAAAAGTAGAGAGAGGGTATATTGATAATGGGTGTATTCAACGTGGTTTACAAATGGGGAAAGGGGTGCTATTTATAGCAGCAATAAATGCTAGATAGGGACATGTGTCATCATTCTGGTGGTCGAGGGGTCACCTCAACGGGGTGGCATTGGCACTCGCATGTGGCCGCATTAAATGCGGTGGTTGGATGTGACGTTTGTACTCGGTACGTTGATCCAGCGCATGTGGGTGGGAGATTCTGTCGATGAGATGCCTTCGGCCGTTCATGACTCCCGAAGGCTCTTCATCCCGGGGGCCTCTAGGTGCCGAGGCTACCATTCTCGCCGCTTTCTCCTAGACACTTTGAGTGCTTAAAAGCAGCTATACCGTAAGTTTATGAGCCTTCAGCCAGTGTTCGTCGTGGACTGTTTGGCACTTGGGGCACTGTGATTTGGGCCTGCTGTGCTTCCTGGGCCTATTGAGCCTTCGCTATAGTAGTGGGAGTCTATGGGTCGGGGGTTCCTGGGCCATATACTCCATCAGGAGTCCCTCACTTCTTTTGCCGAAAGGTACTTGAGGGAAAAGGAGTAAAATGCGTTTGTCCTCTGATGTTGCCTTGCTGTAGTTTGTAAACCTGTGAGAGATTTTGCGTTCGCACACGATTCTGCCGGGGGCAGCCCTTCTGTCCCCCACATTTTGGGACTGAAGGGTGTTGATGCTTTGTGAGAATAATTTTTTAGCATTTTTTTATTTTCCCGGTTCCCGGAGGGGTTCTCTAGTCCCCCACTCCTTGAGGCATTTGTAAGGTGGTGAAAAGGAGTAGAGTAGTGCCTGCTGTCGCATGGGGCCGAAGGTTGACACTTTTCGTTTCATTTTGGGGGGATGCCTCGTTAAAAACATCATTAGAAAAAACCCTTTGGGAAAAAATTCTAACGAGGGAAAAAGAGTGCACCGAATTCCCCCAATGATGAATCGAGAAGGTGAAGCCTTGGTCTGAAATGGGTGACAGTGTTGTCGCCGAAGGTTACCCTTGCTTGAGGGCACGTATGTTGATTTGCCGAAGGCGCTTTGTTGATATCCCAAGGGGTCCGCTAGGAGCATTTCTCCGAAGGCATCCGTAGTTGATAAGTATGAACGAGCATTCCGGGGACCGCCGAGGGTAGTCCCTCTGTCCAAGAGGCTGAGGGCTTGATGAATGCCGGTGATCGTTCCTGTGTGCTGATGGGGGTCCTGATATTTTAGCCGGAGGCTAACCACAGATGAGGGGGTTTTGAAGGCGTGGCCCCGGGGGCCTCCTGACTTCCAACATGTTGAGGCCTGAGGGGTCCCGAGGGGTTTTCCCGTTGTTAAGCCATGGGCTCCCCTTGATGAAGGATCCTGAAGGAGAAAACCCGAAGGCGTGCGTAGTGTTGTTTGATAGGTGCCAGCTGAGGGCACCCTAGCCTGCGAAATATAGTCGTTGAGATATGACCGTTGGAAGTGGAGTCCACGTGGCGTGTGCTTGTTGGCTCCAGACGGGCGGGCATCACTGGTTGGTCCAATCGACGGTTTGTAATGATGATTTCGAGGAATGGGGGCCCGGATTTCGGCCCAAGCCCGGTTTTTGGAGGCTATAAATACCCCATGGCCAGGGCCATTTCCCCTGTGCGATCATACTGTAGCGAAGGTCTGGCAAAATATTCCTAGAGAGAGAAAGTTCCCTTCGATCAAACCAAGTTCTCAAGGTCAGTTCTTCCCTCGTTCCTCCCTTCAACTGCATACTTAGCTTTTCCTGCCTTAGATTAAGTGTTAGGGTTGTTTAGGAAGCCTTCGGTCTTAAGCCTTCGACCTTTAGTTTTCGAAAATGTCATCTGCAAGTGATTCGCAAGACATCTCGAGGGAGCCCTCACTCGAAACAGAAAGCGTCTCCAAGGTGGAGTCCTCAAACGAACAGCCTTCGGTGAGTGATGATTCTGTCGTCGCCATGGAGGTACATAAGGAGCTCGTCGTTGAGCCTGAGGCCGAGGATTTTGAACAAGTAAATGATGACGAGGAGCTGGCCCTCGCCGTTCAAACCACCGAGGAAGAAGAGGAGAAAGAGAGGAAGAAGGTAACCGTCGCCCTCCTCCCTACACGTACCGCTGGTGAAGCCAACACCTCCCGACCTTTAGACCCGACGCCTATCAGCGTAGCTCATGGGAAGAAAAACAAGAAGAAGTTGGGGGCCCCAAGAAGAAAGGGGGTGTTGTTGACCAGGGGAGACCTGTGGGGATCCCCGAAGGGTATTCATGGCTGAACACAGCTGCTCTGACGATCAACTCTAGAGCTGACCCGACCGAGTGCTACGTCACACAGTTACACATAGGGCCTTCGGTGACGGTGGTACAACCGGGGCCTGATGATGTGCTGTCCCAGGCGCCTGAGGGATGCATTGTCGTACATATTCTTTCCATCTCAATGGGCCTCCGGTTCCCATTGCATCCCTTCCTTCTGGAATACCTCAGGTATGTTGGCCTAGCCCCCTGCCAACTTATTCCGAATAGTCATTCCTACATCGTTGGGTTTTTGAACCTCTCCAAGTCCCGGGGGGCACTCCCAGCCTGGAGTTATTTTTTCAAAGTTTCAATCTCTACCGAGGGGGCCATGCGAACTCCGAGGGGTTCGCGAACCTGCAACAACTCGCCCCGTGGAGGCTCTTCGATGACGTGCCCTCATCTCACAAGGGCTGGAGGGATCGCTTCTGCTACATCAGGATGGCGGAGAGTCCATTCCCGAGGGAGTTGAGGAACTACTTCCGGAGGCACATTAAGCCGGAGGGTTGTGCTGCTCTCGAGAAGTGGGGAAAGAAGATATCAGCTATCCCGGAAGGGCGGGATAAGCATGTGACGGTGAAGGAGATGACCCTTGAGGATGATCTCTATCTCCTCGGCTTCCGGCGCTATCGCTTCCTGGGGGAAGCGGATGAGAAGTACCCCATTCTAGAGCAAGCCTTCGAGAGCACAAAAGGTAGTTCCCGGGTGCTCCATTTTTTGTACTTAGAATTTTTTGTAGCTTGTATGCATATTCCCCATGTCTTGACCCCCTGGCCTAATTCAGTTGTGTTGTCTTGCAGGTGACATTATGGACCCGAGGGCATTTGCCAAGCTATCCAAATAGTTGGCGAAGGAGGAGAAGAGGAAAAAGGAGGGGCCTTCAACCCAGAAGCCCGTAGACTCCTTTATCAAGAAGGACCAAGTGGAGGGGGATCCTTCCAAGAAGATCGATGCCGGTGCTGAAGAGGTCGGAGGCTCCAAAGCTGAGGAGCTTAAAAGAAATAACGCCGGGAAGGGCATTAAGCCTCCCGAAAAGAAGAAGCTGAAGGGGGCCGTTAACCAAAAATAATCCCTCGTCGTCATTGTGGAGGAGCATTCTTCCTCTGAGGCCCCGGGCCAGGGGGCCGCGGTGGCATGGCCTCTGGAGAATGTGAATTTCTCCGTGAAGAAGGGGAGTGCCATTATGCATGGCACGCTAGACCCGAGGGAGTTCCTGAGGGGCGCCACTCCAATGACGGATAAGTCAGTGCTTTCTCGGCATAAGGACGATACCCTCGGCTCAAAGGTCCTCCAAACTTCTGTCACAGTAAGTTCTCCCTTCTTTCCTTTTCCTTACTTATTGGCCCTAGTATATTTTGTCCCGTAACTTATATCTCGCCATGGTTTGTTTCCTTGCAGGCTTGCATTGGCCTCAGTGAGCTTCTCCATAGGATGCAGCAAGAGAATAATGCAAGCCTTCAGCAGAGGCTGCTTGATGTCGAGAGCGCCCTCCGGCTTGAAAAGGAGTCCGTTCAGAAGAAGGTGGACGACGCCCGAACCTTGGGGAAGGGTGAGGGCCTGAAGGCTGCTGCTGT